GAAGCTGGCAGAAGACTTACCCATGAAGCCGGGTCAAAGAAAGAAGGGGTGCTGAGAAACCTACACATCTCCATTGCTTTTGGTAAGTTTCCATCTCTGGGAAAGACAAGAAAGTACTGGGAAGTCAAGAAAAAAAAATCTGTTCCTTCGCTGAGAGTAGCAGAAATGTACATTTACAGTCTCCAGACCAGGACTTTCTCCCAGACTTTATTTTGTGATGCTGGCAGCAGGACTGAAAACCAGTCTGGCTTACCAACAGCGTCCTTGCTACGTTCTGCTAGTACAGAGCCAGGCTGAAGGAGAGACTTCCGGTTCTTTTTCTATTTCCGGTTTGAGCATCACCACGTCAACGCCTACTGACCTCTCGAAAGACGTTCATTTTATTTTTGTACTTTCACTATGACCAGTTTACAGGAACGACCCCTGCCGTCTCTAAGAGGTCTGGATCTCAGCCTAGGGCCACCGAGCTTAGAGACCTTAGCTCTGATTAAGCAATGCTCCCTCCCATAGAGCTCTGAGTTTAAGCTTCTAGGGGCTCTACGCAAACTTCAATTTTCGCTATTTTCCATTTCTTGATTTCTCAGCCAAGGAGTGGTAGAGTAATAGCTACTTCCAATGGCTCCTGCCTGTCACCCCATAACAGTTATTACCTAGTTCCTTTATGTTTGGGGTGCTAGTGATTAGACCCAGAACTTCACATATGCTGTACCGCAGATCTGTGTGCTCAACCTCCTAGATAAGTCACTTATATTCAATTGTTTTATTCAGACATTTGCCAGGGGATACGGCTCTTTGCTAGAGACATCTGGGGACGAGACAAATGCCAACAACTCTGAAGAAGACATTTCCCACACCTCACTGCAAAAACCACATCAGAGGTTTTCAGTGAAGCCCAATATCCCCTAGTGCAACCTCTTCTTTAGATTACTAGCACGCAGCTGTCAGATGCAAATAGTAAGAACTACCCTCTGGATGGCTGTGTGTATTTCTGTGACCCACCAGTTTCTACAGCCACCATAAGCAGACAAAAGGGACTCTTGATTTTGGACAAATACGTTTTCCAAATTAGTGTACACTGTACAAAGAGTCTCATTATGTCAGTTCATGTACGTAATGTACTTTGATTATACTCATTTGATTATATTACCCTATCTTTCCCCCCACATTTGCTTTGCCCTCCCATATCCTTAATAGCCTATTGTTACTTTCACAAACCCCCATTCCGGATCTCCTCCCCATGCCAGAGTCCACAGGAGAGTAAACATGCTGTACCTGACTTTATGAGCCTGCTTTTTCTGTTCATCTATTGATGGGCATCTAGGTGGAGTCCTTAATTTGGTTGTTGTAAGTTGTGCTACAATAAACATGAGTCTGCAAGTGTCTCCATGGTAAGCTGAATTTGGTACCTTTGGGTTTATTCTCAGCAATGGTATAGCTGGGTCACATAGTTCCACTTTTAATTTTTTTCTTTTGAGGAATCTGCATACTCATTTCCATAGTGGCTGGACTAATTTACATTCCACTATCAATGTACAAGGGTTCACCAACCCTACCAACATATTCTAGGGTTTCTTATTCTAGCTATGCTGACGGGAGTAAGATTGAATCTCAGTGATTTGCATTTCACTGATAGATAAGGAATGGATACATTTTCTCATGTGTTTATTGGCTATTTGTATTTCTTAATTGGAAAACTGTTACTTTCTTTGTCCACATGTTGATTAGATTATTTATTGTTTAATTTCTTTTTAAAGACTTGTTTTTATTATGTGTATATGTGTGTGTATGAGTTTAAGCCATGTGAGTGCAGGTTACTGTGGAGGACAGAAGAGGGTGCTGGATCCCCTGGAGCCAGAGTTACAGGCAGCGGTGGGTGCTGAGAACCAAACAAAACTCTGGTTCTCTTCAAGGAGTAACAAGTGCTCTTAGTCACTGAGCCACCAGTCCAGCCCCTGGGGGGAAGCTTTTTAAACCTGTCTGTCAATTCTTGGTCTCATTTCTAAAACCTTGAAGTATTGCCCTTTTGTTTCCTCTGGATGTATCAAAGTTTCAGGTCTTCCATGAAGGTTTCTTACCCGTTTTGAGTTGGTTTTTGTACCAGGGGATGGGAGATAATGATCTCATTTAGCTTCCCAGTTTTCCCAGGACCACTTGTGAATGAGGCTGTCTTTCTTCCATGCATATTTTTGGCCATTCTTTATCAAGAATCTGACGACAGTTTCCATGTAGATTTCTTTTGTTTTGTTTTGTTTTGAGACAAGGTCTCTCTATGTAGCCTTGGCTGTACTTAAACTTGCTTTGTAGACCAAGCTGGCTCACCTGCCTCTGCCTCCTGTGTGTTGTGATTAACGATGTGCCCATCACACTGAGCTCAGTGTAGATTTATTCTAAGTCTTCTGTTCCCTTGTACCACTGTCTGTTTTTATGCTAGGAGCATGAGTTTTTGTGACAATGTCTCTGTAGTATACTTTGAAGTCAGGTATTCTGATACTTCTAGTGCTTGCTTTTCTATTTCTCACTTTGGGATTCTTTTGGCCTTTTGTGTTTCCATATACATTTTAGAGGTTCCCCCTCCACATTTCTCTTTAGAATTCCATTCAGATTTAGATGAAGCTTACAAAGAATTTGTAGGTCACTTTTCTAAATCGCAATTTTCTTAATATTCTGTCAAACACGTGAAGCCTTTCTATCTTCAAGTGTCTTTCTTTCTTTAGTGTTAGATCTCAGACAGTCCATATTTAGACGCTACGTTGTCCATATGTCTAGAAATGAGCTCAAGCTGGACTACAGGAGAATTTCTAGATAAAAGCCAGTATTCCTCCAGGACTTGAGAAGCAGGTTCCTATCTGCCAAAAGGAGCCATTTCCCTTACTTCTGGCAGAAGAGGCATATGAAGCTATTGACATAGATCTGTGGCTGCATACGAAAACCCATGCTGGCCTCCAGGATCTCAGTCTCTATTTGTTAAACATTTCAGACTAGCACCCTAGCTCTTCTCTCTCTTTCTCTCTCTCTATCTCTCTCTCTCTCTCCCTCCCTCCCTCCCTCCTTCCTTCCCTCCCTCCCTCCCTCCCTTCTACCCTCCCTCCGTCTCATAAAAATCCTTCTCCTTAACCCTACCATGGAGCCATCATGTCAGCAGTTTTTTACTGTACTCCCTTGCATACATTGGTGCTGAAAACCTAGCATACATTTAGTGCTTCATACTTTCTTTTGTTTGTCTTTTTGAGACAAATTCTCACTATGTAGCCTTGGCTACCTAGAACTCATGCTGTCCTTGAACTCATAGAGATCCACTAGCCTCTGCCTCCTGAGTGCTGGGATTAAAGTCTCCGTCACTACCATGCCCAGCCCATTCTTCCTTTTCATCTTCCAGAGTGTTAGTGTCTTTGGCTAATTAAGCTTTACCCCTAGTTGGATTTGTTTGGTTTTGAGGCTGATTGGTATTGGCTTCCTGACTTTTTCACAGTGAATTGTTGATTTTGTATCTTCCTCCTTAGCAAAGGGTGTTTACTAGATCTAAGTCTCCTAGTGGGGTTTCAGGTCTTATATGTGTAGGCTCATATCACTTGAAAACAAAGGAATTTGCCTCTTTTTCTTTGTATCTTTTTATTTCTTCCTCTTGACTCAGCACTAATTGCTTTCAAGGACAAACTGGTTGTGTATGTGTGTGTATGTGTGACAGAGAGAGAGAGAAAGAGAAAGGGAGAGGGAGAGAGCGAGCCTTGGGTATTGGTGTTATCTCTGCCTCCTGAGATGTCTCTCAGGAGCACAAGGAGTGACATTTTTACTCCCAAAGAAAAGGAGACAGTATATCTGTGATAGCTGTATATTGGGTGTGAGAGGAAAAGGTCGGCACTAACACTGAGTTTCTAGTGAATAGTGTCAGGGCAGGAGAGCATAGGCAGAAACTGAGCTCTTCTGATTGAAATGCTTTACTGCTTTCTCAGATGTGGCCAGCATTGTTCCTGTCTCCTTCACTTCCCAGAATGACTAGTGCTTGAGAATACAGTCCTGAATGGTTTGCTTAAGTTCACTCCCTCTTCTGAGAACAGGAAGTCAGAAGGTGAGTGACAGAGCCACCTGCTGCTCTCTCCTTTGCATAGGTCTAACAGGAGCCTCAGTGAGCTCCTTGGACTTCTTGTGAGCATGAGCACATTAGTCTGGGAGGTAAGAAGGCAAAGGTTGTAGTGTTAATTTGTACCTCTATAGAACCAAACTAGCCTTCACTCCACAGACTTACAACGCTGGAGAAAGTTCCCCTAAGCAGCCAAGAAGGTACCAAAGGTGAGAGCTTTCTTCATTTTTCTTCTTCTTAAATCTTATCCCCAAGAGTTACTACTGACAAGGATATAATTTTATGTTCCCAAAGAGATGAACCAGAGGAAAAGAACCTGATGGAAGGATGTGTTATACTTTTAATTTATTTTTTTGGTGGGGGAGTGGATTTTCTTTCCCTATAAATCTGGTTTCTTTGGTGGTATTCAAGACCTTGTATTATATTTAAAAAGTAGGTGTGGTTTGTGGAATAAGCTCATTCATAGATATACTCAGGAAGACAGAATGGGGAGAAGTCTCCAGTCTTCTAATGTGTGATACTTGAGAAGAGCTCAGCTCCTGTTTTTCTGTCATAAGAAGAGTCTATGATGACTATTTTTTTGTAAAAATTAAATGGGACGGTGTACAGAAATGATCCTAGTTGATAGATAATACTGAATATCCTGTGTGCATAAATCACGCTCACCTCTGTGTAGAGATATATTTTAAATTAGATGTAGCATTTGACTACTGTTAATTTTTGAACAATATTGAATTGCTTTATATGTCTTTTTATTATCATTATCGTTTATTTTCTTTTATTTTTTTGATTCTTTGAGTCAGGGTCTCTCTATGTAGTCCTGAAACTCACTATGTAGACAGATTGGCCTCAAACTCAGAAGTCTGCCTGCCTCTCCTCCTGAGTGTTAGTATTAAAGGTGTGTGCTACCATGTCCAGCTATTTAATATTTCTTTAAGGATATTTTAAAATGAAAGGTTAGCCAGAGACAGGATCTGAGTTTTGAATGATACGGGATGTGAAGAGTCTTAATATAGAGATTAACAAACAGAAGCAAGAAATATTGCTTCCTTTTAAAGGGGCTTGATTCTAGAACTGATGGTAGTCAATTTCATATAATTTGTTTTCAGACCCAGAAATTCTGGACCCCAAATGAAAGTTCATTCTAGGGCAGCAAGGGGTGGGAAGGAGGAAAACGGATGAAGGGTAGATACTTCCTCCAGCTAACTGCACCTTTAACCTCAGGGAGCCCAGCTCCATGTTTCCCTGTCTCCAGAGTAAGGGTAGAACTGGTCCCTGTGGCAGTCTGGCAGCTGCTTTGTAGGGCAGTTTTAAGTCTCCCTCAGCAAGCCTGGTGGATGGGTTCCTTGCCTGGTTTTCACTAAGCTATTTCTCTAGAGAAGAGATCTTTTCTGCCATCAGAAGTCTGGAGTTGAACTTGACATTCCTTGGAACATGTTTAGTTTATAATCAGAGGCTCTTTGTTTTGTTTAGAGAGCCCACCCCCTCCTCTGCTGGGCGAGGCTTGATGGTCCCCACCTGTGAAGATGGTTTCATGGAGGAGGCTCTGTTGGCACTATCATGTGTGGACCCTGGGCTGCTACATGCTGCTGGCCATCATTGCCCTGAAACTGTCCCTCAGATTGAAGTGTGATTTCGATGTCATGGATCTGGACTCAGAGGAATTTCAAAGCCAGTACTGCAGGGATTTCCTGTATAAGACCCTGAAGCTGCCAGCACAGAGTTCCATCAACTGTTCAGGGGTCATTCGAGGGGAGCAGAAAGCAGTGACCCAGGCTCTGCTGAATAACCTGGAAATTAAGAAGAAGCGGCAGCTCTTCACAGAGGCCGACTACCTTAGCATGACAGCAGATTGTGAGTACTTCAAGAACAAGAGGAAGTTTATACAGGTCCCACTGAGCAAAGAAGAGGCCAACTTCCCCATTGCGTACTCAATGGTGGTTCATGAGAAGATTGAGAACTTTGAAAGGTTGCTGCGAGCTGTGTATACCCCTCAGAACATATACTGTGTCCATGTGGATCAGAAGTCTTCAGAAACTTTTAAGCAGGCAGTCAGGGCCATTGTGTCATGCTTCCCAAATGTCTTCATAGCTAGTAAGCTGGTATCAGTGGTCTATGCCTCCTGGTCCAGGGTACAGGCTGACCTAAACTGCATGGAAGACTTGCTCCAGAGCCCCGTGCCATGGAAATACCTCCTGAATACCTGTGGGACAGACTTTCCAATCAAAACCAATGCTGAGATGGTCAAGGCCCTCAAGCTATTGAATGGGCAGAACAGCTTGGAGTCAGAGGTACCACCTCCACATAAAAAATCCCGTTGGAAATATCACTATGAGGTGGCAGATAGATTGCACATGACCAGCAAGAGGAAGACCCCGCCACCTAATAACATAACCATGTTCACTGGGAATGCATACATGGTGGCTTCTCGAGACTTCATTGAACATGTATTAAGTAACTCAAAAGCCCAACAACTGATCGAATGGGTAAAAGACACCTATAGTCCTGATGAGCACCTTTGGGCTACCCTCCAGCGTACCTCATGGATGCCTGGATCAGATCCCTTGCACCGCAAATTTGACCTATCAGACATGAGATCCATTGCAAGATTAACCAAGTGGCAGGACCATGAGGGAGACATTGAGAATGGGGCACCTTATACATCTTGCTCAGGTATCCACCAGAGGGCTGTCTGTGTTTATGGGTCAGGAGACCTGCACTGGATACTTCAGAACCATCACCTCTTGGCCAACAAATTTGACCCAAAGGTGGATGATAATGTTCTTCAGTGTTTAGAAGAGTATTTACGTCACAAAGCCATCTATGGGACTGAACTATGAGACACACTGCAAGATGATTGTTACCTGTGCAGCAGGAAAATGCCAGGACCTACTGGGGCAGTGTGGGGTAGGCAGCTGGGGCTCTAGACTCCATGTATCCCTTAGTTTGAGAGGGCCGCTATTGGACAGTGGGTAAGTAGACCTCTTGCGAGCTGTCTCTGGTGAATATGGCCATTCTCCAGTTCTCTCCCCAACAGGCTTTCTTTGGCTTCACAGAGCTAGAACAAGAAATAGTTTTATTTGGGAAAATAAGGCAGGGGACATGTGGCCAGGGACTCTGGATTTTTGCTGAAGGCTTCCTGTCAGGTTCTCTATAGAGATTTTGTTTCAAATACCCCTGGGGTTGGTCTTGGGAGGTGAACTTTAGTGGAAAAAGCCCTCCTCTTTTGTATTGTTAATTTAAAATAAATAGCTTCTAAACCAAAGCCCTACCTCTACTGTGTTGTCTATGAATCCAGAAATAATCTAAACAGGTAAAATGTGTGAGACATTAACCGTATGTTGAGGACAGTTAGTGTCTAGTGGCTGGTAAGAAAGTCTTCATAGCAAGCTGAGTAGACGGCAAACTTAATCACAGAGCTAGTTCTCTCATTACTGAAAGCTTTCCTAGTTTTGCTTTCATTGGTAAATTCTGAATTTTCCATAAGGGGAAGAACAGAGTGATTAAACTAGTATGCCAATTATGTTCTTAGGAGAAATGCAGCTTCATGGCCAAAGCTTAGCATCCTGTACCAAGCAGCCAATTTCATTGGAGCTTAGTTTAGTTGGGGGTAGAGGCTGCACTGTTAATCATTAGGTTGGGGAGTGAAAGGAAACTGTTTTGCTCACCCAAGATCCCTGAGAATTCTGTGTTTAAACCTTTTGAATCAAAGCTTCTTTATTTCATTATATGACTATCAGGCTCACTATTTCCCTGTGGGAACACAGTAATGTGTGTAAATACATATGTACAAATGCTAAAAATATGTAAATTTACAGGCACACATTCCTCAGTGAAATCACTTTCTCTCTGAAGACCCAGAGCTAATTTTTGGGCCAGTATGTATTCTACTCTGCAACAAGTAAGGGGCACTAAAAACTATAAGCAGAACCTTTAACTATAGTTTAGCTGACTTTCTGTGTCTATGTCCCAAAGAGGAGTTTATGTACAAATTAACTTGTGTAATTTGAATGAGGCTCCCACCAATATGTTAGAATGTTAACAGGTTTCTTCATTTCAATTCTTGATCCAGATAAGGAATTCTCTCTACAGTCAACTTTTATTGTAGCCCTTGTCCCTTTAACAGTTAGTGTGTGATGGGAATTTTTGTTCTTTTTGGTTTTGAGGCAGGGTTTCTCCATATAGCTCTGGCTGTCCTGGAACTCTGTGGATGAGGCAGGCTTCGAACTCAAGAGACCCACCTGCCTCTGCCTCCCCAGTGCTGGGATTAAAGGGATGCATCACCATGCCTAGTGGAATTTCTATTTCAAAGTGAGCAGCTTCCTTTTTAAAAAATATTGGCCCCCGTGGGTAAAGTGCATTGTCACCACAAACTTACCCAACACCACAATACTGAGTCTTTGCTCCCAGCCTTACCTCAGAGGTGACTGTGTCATGAAATCTGTTGTTAGCAGCCCTGTTGTCCTGGCCCTTCCCTGAGGAGGAGAGAAGAGGGGCTGCTGGCCTGTGGGCTGTGTGTACAAACACCTCCCGGAAGACACAGATCCTGAGGAAAGAAGCCAGATTCTTCATGGCCAAGTTTCCCCCAAAGCTTTTGTAATAAATTGAGCTGTAGCTTCCCATAGAAATACATTCAAGGTATTCAAGGGCTGTGACCCTGCCATGTTTTGGAATTTTCCCAACCATTAATTTTTTTTTTTCTAGAAGATATGTTGGGTGGATGAATGTAGTTTGATCAATAGCCATGAGGTCATCAAATCAGAAGGATCACACTTCACCTGGTTTGTTTAGTGTACTTTCAAGGTCACATGGGTAAACCAGCACATCTGTTGGTCTTTCCTTTTTGAGTCGTCCCTGTTTTGTTAACCCTTCTCTGGAAAGGAAGTGTCAGAAACAAATCCAGCTGTTATGCTTGTACCACCTTCCAGGGCTTACGTTTCCTCCTCACTTTGATGTATGGCCATCATTGAGCTGTATTTTAATAACTTTTTGCGGCTCATTCTATCTGCTCTTGGTTTAGTGAATGTTTACTAGGAGAGGAAAGAGCTGTTGTTAACTTTGGGGCATCTAATTTAGATGGAGAGTCAGATATGCTGATTAAAAATGGAGAGACTAGGGCTGGAGAAGTGGCTCAGTGGTTAAGAGCACTGACTGCTCTTCCAGAGTTCAATTCCCAGGAACCACATGGTGGCTCACAACCATCTGTAATGGGATCTGGTGCCCTCTTCTGGTGCCTGAAGACAGCTACAGTGTAGTCATATACAAAAAATAAATAAGTCTTTAAAAAAAATGGAGAGACTAATATCTTACCTGTTGGCCTACTGCTGCTATGTATTCAAATGCTAAATTCTGTACCCCAAGATGTGGTTGCCCCAAGATGAGCGAATTCCCACATACATCAGCTTTTGTTGTGCAAACATTTCTCCTCAATTTAAAGTTAATTTTAAATGGTTAACTAAGTTTAACCAATTAAAATGTATCTCACTCAGCTGGAATTTATTGCAAAGGTAGAATAAGTTATGATTCTTCATAAATCTTGATGTGCTGACAACCAATAAAATAATTCATTCCACACATGTGAACTGAGTTATTGGTGCTTCCCACACCTTGTGATTAATTTTTTTATTACATTTATTCATTTGTGCATGGAGGGAGGCATGGCAGGAAACACTCATGGGATGGCTTGGGTGTGGTGGTCAGGGAACTGTTTAGAGGAGTAGGCGGTCTCCTTCCACCATGTTCATTCCAGGACTGAACTCAGGTTACCAGGCTTTGTTGCAAGACCTTGCTGACCCCACACATTGTTATTGACACCAGGAATACAATAGTCTCAAAATGTGAAAATTCCCACACTCACATTATTATTAAAAGTGCCAAGTGCTAGAAAGGAATTGAAGGGGATGATGAAGACCTCGGGAGAGTAGGGTGCAGCGTTCGAGGATGGTTTATATTATAAGGTGGTCAAGGAGGTCCTTGGTGGAAACACCACTTTCTAGTAGAGGTTTGAAGGAGGCTAGGGAACAATCCATGGAGATTAATGAAAGAACATTCTAGGCAAGAGGAGAGACTTGCAAAGCCTTGCAGCAGGAATGTGCATACCAAATTTTAGAACATCAAGGAAGCTAGTTTGCATAGAAAGGATGGAAGACCAGTTGGATACCTACTAAAGAAAAAGTTATTATCAGCTTAGCAATTGTGAAGCCCTATCTATTTGGTCTCTGGTGAGTGTCTCCTGGCTACATCAGAGTTTCAGTGAGGGACTGTGGATACTAGTTGGGACTGTGGGCATGTCTGTAGGAGTTGATTCAGTTAATTGGTGTGGGAAGACACAATCTAATCTAGTGTCAGTGGCACCATTCTTTGAGCAGGAGGTCCTGAGCCATACAAGAATGGAGAGACTTCTGGACTCCTAGAACTCAGGAGGCAGGGGCAGGAAGATAAAGTGGTGTGATAAAGAGCAGTGTCTGTGGTGTGAGGAGGCGAGAACCTGACTGAAGGTGATTTGAAGAGAACGTTGGAGCAAAACTGGATTCAAAGAATATAGATAAATTACTTGAGGAGTTTTAAGCCAAGGAGCAGGGGGAATCCTCCATTAACTGACGTTGTCTTGAACTTTAGAAAAGTGATCCTGTATTTTTGTGTTGATAAGGAAGAGCCAATCAGAACAAACATATGGGAATCCTGGAGAGGCTTATTAGAGTGCCACAGGTTTGAGGGAGAAAGGGATGGCTAGTGAACAGGATGAAAGCTTTATCTTCACTGGAGCAATGGCCAAGGCCCCCAGTAGGACTGGAGGCAAAGTGGGTAGACTCAGCCGTGGGTAGATGGGCAGATATGGTAGAATTAACAGAATAGATCCCCACCTCTGTGTATTTTTATGTGTGGGCTCTCCACGAATGTGAAGAACAAAACACTAGAGGTCTTCCTCAGTTACTCCCCACCTTCCTTTTTTTGAGACAGAATATCTCACTGAACATGGAGCTTGCCAATTTCACTAGTCTGGCTAGCCAGCAACGCCCACGGAATCCTCCTGTTTCTGGTTCCCTGGGATTATGGGTGTATGCCAGGTTCTTATGCTTTCCAGGTAGGCACTTTACTGACTTGAGCCATCTTCCTAGCTACTTCTGCTCATTAACATATCATCTGAGGTACAACATACATATAGAAAAGTACAAAATGCTCATACATGGCTGAAGAAGTTTTACAAAGTAAACACACCTATACAAGTAGAATCCAGATCATAGAACCTAACATGACCCACATCCCAGGGTGTCTCTGTACCCTTTCCGTAGTGAAATCACTACACCATTTTACTTTCCTATCAACAGGGTACCAATTGCTTTACAGTCTCATCAACATGTCCAATATTCTGCCTGGCAGTGCTAGAAGAGAACAGAAAAAGGTATCAGATGCCCTGAAGCTGGAGTTAAAAGTGGTAGTGAGTCACCTGATATGGGTGCTGGGAATTAACTCAAGTTCTCTGTAGAAACAGGACATGCTCTTAAACACTGGGCAACCCTCTTTAGCCCAAAAGTATAGTTTTAAAGGCAATTTCTCCTGGATTCAAATTTCAGGAGCTCCATAGGCTTAGAGTCAAAGAATATTCGGTACAGAGTACACAGCGATCCAAGGAGCTAAGCCCATTTGATTCTTTCAGCATGTTGCAAGCTGCTGCACCTTTTGTAAAGCAAGACACCTTGCTTACCCTAAATCTCAGGAAGATTCCATTCACCTATGTACTCAGAAAAATAAACCATTTTATTATATCATGCAAAAAAATATAGATATACGAGTTTTTACCGAAGTAGAGGCATTTTTAGAATGGATTGACAAAATCAATTTACCCTGGAGTCCCTTAGAATCTAACAGTAGCAGACAGCAAGCAGTTATGTAGACTATATCACAACATAGAATATATGTTGTGATATTAACATAATGTGGTCAGAGAATAAGCAAGCCCTAATTATTTTTTTTTGAGTATTTCAGCTTTGTCCTTTGCATTTTTTATCCACAAAGAACATTAAATGGCTCTGTGATGGATAGGAATGCAGAAGCTGGGGAGATGGCTCAGCGAGGATCATATTTTGAATAGAGGCAGATAGATCCAGTGAAAGACTTTATCTCAAGGGAACACAGTGGAGAGTACTGGAGTAGGCCATCTGAACTCCTCTGGCTTCTGCATGAACATGTACTGGGGCACACACCCATACTCCAACTGAGTGGGGATGCACACAGCATCTCCAGCACTTAGGTGGCAGAGGCAGGTGAGTTTTGTGAGTTTACTTGCGAAGTTTTAGACCAGCCTAGGCAATCTACACAGGGACATAGATCTTCCCTCAAAGGATAAATGAAAGAAAGGAAAGAAGGAAAAGTGAAAGAAGAAAGCAAGCTAGCCAAGTGACTAAATATTTCCATGTCTAGATTTCAAGGCCTCCTATAACCTACTGACTCTCCAGTGTAAAAAAATGAAGTGTTTTCTACTTCTCGTTGTCATGTATTTTGATCTCACTGAATCCACATTTCTTTATTACGCTGCAAATGGTCTCCTTAGCTGAGACACATGTTTATATACAAAGTATGTATATGCCTGTGTAGTTTCCCATATACCTAAACATTTACGATTTTCAGAATGTGTTAATGACAAATTGTGAACACTAGGATTAAGGACTATTAAGAGATGAAGTATTTACCACTGTGGTGGTTTGAATGAGAATGGCCCCCATAGGCTGATACATTTGAATGCTTAGAAGTTCCCAGTTAGCAGAACTGTTTGGGAAGAATTAGGAGGTGTGGCCTAGTTGGAGGAGGGTATGTCACTGGGGGTGGGCTTTGAGGATTCAAAAGTCCACAGCCAGGCTCAGTCTTGCTGCTCTCTCCCCCATCCCCCTGGCTGCTGGTTGTATATTAGGATGTAAAACCCTCAGCTACTGCTCCAATGACATGTCTATCTAGTCCCTGCCATGGTGGTTATGGACTCACCCTCTAAAAGCAAGCACCTAACTATTATTTATTTACTTATTCTCTCTCTCTCTCTCTCTCTCTCTCTCTCTCTCTCTCTCTCTCTCCCCACCTCTCCCTCCTCCTCCTCCTTTAAGGAAATTGCCTTGATCAATCATAATGTTTTTTCATAACAATAACTAAGATATCACCTCTGACTCAAGGAAGATGACCACAGATATCAACCAATCACTCAGCTGTTATTAAATCCACAGAAAAGGCAATTCTTTGTCTATTGGTTGGATCTTAAGTACCATGCATCTAGATAATTACATGATCCCAAAAAGCACAGCTTTCTTTCTCTCCTGAAAGCACACAAGCTAATTGTTTTCCTCTTGTGCACTGATGAAACTGAACTTCAGTCCCTCAAGCCTAGTCTTGTGCAAGCTCTTGGGTGACCCTTTCCTCTAATTCCAGGAGATCCCCTATTAACACTATGGGAAGATTAAATGCCACAGGGCTGGCAAGATGGCTCTATAGCTAAAAGCACTTGCTGCCAAACCTGACAGCGTATGCTTGATCCCTCACATTGTAGAAGAAAACAGACTTCCACAAGTTGTCCTCTAACCTGTAAATGCGACTTCACAGGTGACCTCCACACCAAAGAAAAATGTAGTAACAAAATATACACTACACTACAGAGCAAGTGTTGGTCACATGATGTGTAGTGTATGAAAACAATTATAACTAATGTACATCTGCCAAGGCAAAAGCAGATGTGTATTGTGACTAAGACCTACACAAGAATTCCACCAACTGATGAAATGCAGAACTCATGCTGGGCATTCCATTCCAGTTAGCTGTCCATTTACTCTAGTGACCTGAAATAAAAATGTGTCCTCTCAGAGGCCACTCACCCAGCTTCTGAGCAAAACGTAAAAGTACAGATCATATCACCACACACAGCTCTAGGTAGAAGAGAAATCTGGATTGAACTATACTATACATTTATTCTCGTTGCCTTAACCTGTGTGCCTCCTCATAAGAAGCTACTAAACAATTAGGAAAGGCCTGAAGAGACCTCAGGAGGTACAGTGCTTGTTGCCTAATAAGCATGAGGACCCACTTGACTCCAAAATCCACTTAACAAGTTAGCTGTGGTAAAGTACACCTGTAATCTCAGCACTAGAAGAGTAGACAGGAGGAATTTCAGGACTTGCTGGCCACCCAGTCTATTCACTACATGGCAAGTCTCAGGTCCCAGTGAGAATCTTCTTTCTTCTTCTTTCTTCTTCTTCTTTTCTTCTTCTTCTTCTTCTTCTTCTTCTTCTTCTTCTTCTTCTTCTTCTTCTTCTTCTTCTTCTTCTTTCTTCCTCTCCCTTCCCCTTCCCTTCCCCCTCCCCCTCTCTCTCTTTTCAAATGTGGGCACTGTGGATAAAACTCTGATCCTCAGGAAGGACATTTTAACACATTTATGAAAAGCTATTTTGCTCAATAGTTCTGCCAACTTAGTATACCTCTCAGTAGAGGAAAAAATAATGACCCTTTTGCTATGGAGGCGTCCTCTCTGTTCTTCTCAAACAAAAGAATTCAATTGAGACTGTTTTCTCTTTTTTTGTGTGTGCAAGGTAATGCTTGCGTGGGTGTGTGCATCCACATGGAGGCCAGAGGCTAGCATCAAGATGTCTTCCTCAATTCTTCATTTTTGAGAGTATCTTATTGAACCTGGAGCTTGCTTCTCTGGTAAGACTGGCTGGTCAGCAAGTTCCAGGAATCCTATGTCTAACCAGGGTTGGGATTACAGGTACCTTTTGAGGGGCTTTTGTGTGGGTTCTAAGGATCCAAACTTTTGGTCCTCCTTTTGAGCAGAAACAAATTACTTGCTGAGCCATCTTCATAGTCTGAGTTGCACAAGTTTAAGCAGAAGTTCTAGTAAAGCAAGCACTCCAGGGTGCTGGGGTGGGCAGGTTCTGCACTCTGAATTTTAAAGCTGTATGAAACACTTAAGTTTACATTCATGAATATTCCTGTGGTGGTTTGAATATGCTTGCCCAGGAAGCGGCACTATTAGGAGGTGTGGCCTTGTTGGAGGAAGTGTGTCACTGTAGGGACTTTAAGACCCCCCTCCTAGCCACGTGGGAGTCAGTCTTCTGAGCAAGATGTAGAACTCTCAGCTCCTTGTTCAGTGCCATGCCTGCATGGATGCTGCCACAGTTCCTGATAATGGACTGAACCTCTGAACCTGTAAGCTAACCCCAATTAAATGCCGCCCTTTATAAGAGTTGCTGTGGCCATGGTGTCTCTTCACAGCAAAGGAAACTCTAAGACAATTCCCAAACCATGGTAGGCCAGATCTCCCCTATAGGGTATATTTTTCATGATCCTACAAAGGGAATGTGTCAAAACAACATAGGGGGCAGGCAAGATGGCTCAGCCACAAAATGCCTAACCATCTGTATATTTAATCTCCAGAATCCACATAAGGAAGGAAGGAGAAAACAGACATCCTAAGTTTTTCCTCCACATCTATGCTATGACATACATCTGCCCTTGATGCCCTCAATTACACAGACAACATCAACAATAAAGTCTTTAAAAAAGCAAAAAAAAAAAAAGTCAATTATGATGGAGACAGTCTTTTTTAGGATGTGACTCCTTTATTAGGTCACATGTTCCACTTAAGTTTTATTGGTAAAGCAGGAATTTTATCTGCAGCTTTAAGAATGCTTAACATTGTGTCAGGTGCAGCTATAGCTCTCTTGGTGACCTGTCTGCCTTGTCTGATCTCTGGACAAGCTGTCAGTTTTGGCTATTGTCTCAGTCAAAACAACAGCATTAAACAAAACAAAACTAATGCCTACGATAAAAGCTGGGGCCAGGGTTTTTACACCAGCTTGTCAGGCTGTGCAGGACAAGGGGTGCCTGTCTTCTAGGTCCCTTTCCCCATCTCTACTCATTCTAATTCTCATCCTGATGTGTTAGCTCAAGTAGCATGGGAATGCCAGATGTTCACTTTTACTGTTAAGGGCTAGGTCTTTAAGGGAGGTCTGAACAAGCCAACACCAAATCCATCCCTCAGTTACCTGGTATCTATCTGATCTCTCAAGGGTCTAAATAGCCATGTTCTTCATTGTATTTTCCTAGTTTGACAAAGGATACCTTTTCTTTTTAAGTATACAAAGATGTAGAAACAGATGTCATATATTTGTACTAGGACTTTAACAAAGATTTGTGTTTTGCTTGCATGTATGTATGTATACCACATGCATGCCTAAAGCCCTCAGAAGTCAAAAGAGGGTATTGGATACCCTGGAACTGAAGTGACAGGCAGTTGCAAGGCACCACGTGGGTGGTGGGAGCCAAGGGTCCTCTGGAAGAACAAGTGCTCTTAACTGCTGATCCATCTCTTTAGCTCCAGAATTTTGGATAAAGATTAGAATTTCCAGTAACTGGTAAGATGTAGATCATTTAAAAATGTATGATCACTGCTAAAGGCCAGGTCAAAAATAGTGATATGACACACAGGATTGCTGTTTGGAGTGAGACCGTGGTTCTGCTATACTAATTATCTAAAATTCATCTCACTCCTCTAGATCTGGCTGCTCACACCGACAATTACCTCTGAATATGTTCTTTGAAAAGAAAGTGTGTGAGATTTTCTTAGTAAAACTCCATCGACATTCAGGTGTACCTCTGGTATATTTAGTATCAGATAAAATTACAATTGACAAGGTGAACAAAATTTTATCGAAGGACACCTTTTCCAAGTCCCTCTTCAGTTTATCTGGTATTTTGACAACTCCCTGCTCACCAGCTGCATCAAGTATTACTCACAACAAGTTTTAAAACGAGTTTATTGAAGAATATTCTTATGAAGGCAACCACTTTTGATTTGTCATTAAAAAAAGTTACATTTTTTTATGCTGTGTACTAAAGGTCATTTAAGAGAACAGAGTCTCATGCTTCTCTCTGTAGGACCCTTGGGTAGTATATATAGCACAGTGTTGTCATTTCTGCACCGTGAGAATAAATAAAAAAAAAAGTCTCTTCTATGTTTCTCTTCAAAAATCGATGAAAATAACAGAAGGTGGCAAAAAAAAAAAAAAAAAAGCTGCATTTCTCTACTCATTCCGTAGTATTGGAGCCAGTATCTAGAAACAGGAGAGAGATCAATTCAAGGAGCAAGTCCTAACCATCAGTACTTAAGGAATAACTAAGAAAAGGACTAGAAGTGTGTGTGGAAGGAGGAAGAGGCAGGTGGACAGGGGCACTCTGGAAAGGCCCTGCCAAGGTCATCAGCTTCCTTCCCAAGGCAGAGATAAGATACAGCCTAAACCTAAGTGTTTGCTGTGGGCTAATATAAACAACTTTTCCAGGCTACATCCTGCTTGGAAATACAGCGACCTTCTGGCTCTGGCTATTGCTGCCCTTTCCTCTGTTACTTTAGTGGAAACATAGCTGAATTTTAGGACACCGATTTTTAGAAGAATGGAATTTTATTGAACTGAACTTAGTTTTGAAGGCCAAATTGTATTTTATCCACGTCTATGATTTCATCTTTTCCTGTGGATACAGAAAAAATGGAATCTACCACAACCATTTCTTAAGCATTTAAATCTTGGTTGAGGATCAATTACTATGGTTTCCTTTAACTGAGGGCAGCTCTCCAGTAACCACCTAACTGAAGTTGACATGGATAATTTGCTACTGCTTATTGTCTGAGGTTGGAATACAATCTTGTATCTTTAAACAAGAACAGAACCAAGGACCACCAGGCAGAAGCCCACACTGGGCTCTTTCTGCTATTTTTAAGATTGCTCAGAGGCTTTTGTTGTTTGGTTCACAGAATCTGACCCCCTACTAAGCACGTCTTTCCTGCTCAGTACAGTAGCCACTGGTTAGCAACATGTAGCTGTTTAAAATTTAAATGAATTCAAATTAGCTAATGAGATGAAATAGGATGAAAGTTTTTAGTTGTTCCACTCACATTTTAAGTGTTCGAGGTCTATGCATGACTACTGAGGGCTGCAGACAGAACATTTTCATCATTACAGAAACTCTCCTCAACAGTATTGGTGCTCATCACCTGCTCCTTCCCCCAGGGCTAAGGACTGAACGAACCTAAGATCTCATATATGCTGAGCCTTCTATCTCCAGCACTCTCTTTACTCTTTCAGACAGGATTTCTTTTTAAGTTGCTCAAGCTGGCCTTGAGCTCACTCTACAACTTAGGCACACCTTGAAGATGTTATCTCCATTTCAGCTTCCCAAATAAAGCAGATTACAGTTCTGTGCCACCTGGCCCATTTATATCAATTTATTTATTGCACTAACTCTATGGTCTAATACACACTTAAAAGCCTAAGGGCTTATTATCTTAAATTACAAGAGACAATGTATGAAAATATAAATTATTTCAAATATGGAAATGTTATCTTATAGTACAGGAAACATTACCACCTTCGTAAAAATGGAAAATAAAAGGTGACCTAAATATACATTGTTCCTAGCAAAATAAGTATCTGCTGGTCACAGAAAGAAGTCTCTAGGACTACTGCTGAGGAGTCCTAGCTAGATTTCTGATGAGTAAGTCAGTATAGCAGTGCTGATTTCCTAGACTTTTTGTCATTTGGAAGAACTTTTTTAAAAAAAGCCCTGAACAGGTGTGGTAGCACATGTTTAATCTCAGCATTTTGGAGGCAGAGACAGGCAGACATCCGAGTTCAAAGCCAGCCTGGTCTACGGAGTGAGTTCCAGGGCAGCCAAGACTACACTGAGGAACCCAGTCTTGAAAAATCAAATCAATCAATCAATCAAAAAGGCTGAAAACTTTATGTAGCTATTAGAAATTAGATGATAAAGAATAATATATGTGAAAACTAATGTATGTATAAAACATACCTTTGTATACAGATGTGTTGCTATAAAAATACATTCCTAATACTTGAAAATCGTTTTACTTGTGAAGGTGAACACTTATCTGTAGAGGTGGGTCATATATGGAACTTTTCTGCATTCTCTACATTTCTTCAGTGATTAGATATTTCTTTAAAAGTTCAAACTATAGGTAGGCAGGGTGGCACATGCCTTTAATCCCAGCACTTAGGAAGCAGGAACAGGAGAATCTCTATGAGTCTGAAGACACCCTGGTTTACATAGTGAGTTCCAGGCCAGTCAGTGCTACAGAAATCCTGTCTCAAAAACCAAAACCAAAACAAAGAAAATCCACAAGTAACGGGGACATTACTTATTTCTCTTTGCCTTCTTTCTCATAACTCCTTGTGTGTAGTGTGACAGTCTTTTATACTCCAGGGACTGGTACTTTAAACACAAGCTGCTTGGATTAAATTAAGTAAATACACAATAGAGCATGGTCATGACTTAGTAGTAGAGCACAAATACAGCAAGTACAAGGCCTTGGGTTCTATTTAAAAATAAACAAAAGGAAACAAACAGTGATGGAGCACAAGGCAGAGGTGAGTCACTTTAACAATGCAAACACTTGAAAAAAACTTCAAGGTCTGACATGGAAAATTCTCTTGCAAAAAATGTGCAAATCAGAGGAATGAGTATCTACCATTATAACTGCCAGGTGCATGATTAGTTTAAATCAGGATTAAAACAATTAACTTCTTATGTATAAAGTGTAGTTTAACCAGCAACACAGAACTCTTACGATAACTGGTCAAAACTCCATTACCTCCTTAGAGAAAGGTGGCAGTGAGAAGCCTAATGACTGATGATTCAAATTCGCAACTCAACGGAAGCAAAGTTAGGAAATAGCTTATTTTCTTTGCAGATGAATTTAATCTGTGTTAAGTGTCTATGTGTCACCTGGGCATACAGATCAAAGGTCAGTAAGAGGACAGATGTAGAATCCTGAAGCTAGGTTTGTAATCTGAGGGTTGATCACCTGGGCATTTTCCCGGTTTTCAGACAGATCAAGATAATTAAAGAGGAGAAAAAGATATTGTGACAAGTTTTGCTTTCACAGTAATTAGGTGAGCACTTACTTTTACCATCACAGGCTACAATTTTCACTTTATCCACTTTAATAAGTTCTGTCACCTCTCTGAATTCAACATCATTCAATACAAAAGTCCAAACATTATCGCAGAATCTGTATGTATTTAGAGAGCCCTTTAAAACAAAACATTGAGAAATACCATGAGAAGCCATTGTTTCCCCTCATGCTTTATTTCAAAGCAACCCAAGAAAGCTCAGCTACCAAGTACAGAGCTGCCAAAGCAGTGTGCTTAGCTTCATTTATTTAATGACTTACTTAATTTCATCTACTGAGAACCAAGTAAGAGAGAACCTGGATAAGTCAGCTCAGGGAAGAGGTTAAAAACATTTTAGCTAGCCAACTCTTTTTAGTACTCTAAAACAAAGTGCAAATTACTTACCTGAGATGAAAAGGTGTATGAAAGCTTGAATATGTGTGTCTACTGCCCTCTTGTGGATAAATTATGAAAATTCCATTTGAGCTCTCTCTTTTGACTAAGGATCTCTCTACACAACCCTGGCTAACCTGGAACTCACTGTGTAGACCAGGCTGTCCTGGAACTGTCTACTTCTTTCTCCCAAGTGCTAGGATTAAAGGTGTGCATCACTACACTCTGCCCATTTGATAAAAATTTTTTATATATGCATGTGTCTATGTGTTTGGTGCATGTCTGCCTGAGTTTATATGTACTACATTTGTACAGATGCCTCTAACGGCCAGGGGAGGGAATCTAATCTCCTGGAACTAGAATCATAGGTAGTTGTGACTACCTGAGATGGGTGCTGGGAACCAAACCCAGATTTTCTGCAAGAGCAGTAAGTTTTCTTAGCCATTAAACTTTCTCTACAGCCCTCACTTCTGACTTTATGTTTTTTGAGATAGTGTTTTTCTATGTAGTTCTGACTGTCCTGGAATTCAGTATATAGACCAGATTGGCAGCCAACTCAAGGAGAGCTGCCTCCAGAGTGCTAGAATTAAACACATACACCTGGCTCCATTTAATATTTAAGACTCCATATTTCATTGTGTGTTCATTTTCTAAACTTGTATAAAAGCAGAGATTTAAAAAAAAAAAAACACATTAAGCCAAATTCTATTACTGGCTCAGAAGCATCACTGTTACCTATTCTTTAAGACTATTTCAAATCAGCTTTTTTTCTGTGACTCTACATAGTGTCACTTTAGCCAGAAAGTAGAAAATTACCAATTTGTCTCTCTTCATTTTACCATATCCAAAACTGTCAAATTCCATTAGATGTGCCTTTTAAAGTCTCTCCATTTCTAGTCATCCACTTGCCAAATTTTGTACTATTAGAGACATGACACCACCCTTCCCACTATTTCTAGCCATGGCTATCCAAGAACTCGGTCTGTAGACCAGGCTGGCCTCAAAGGCAGAGGCAGAGATCCACTTGCCTCTGCCTCCCCAGTGCTATGATTAGAGGTATTATGTGCTATTATGCCTGGCTGATACCTTTTTATTTGACTATTTATGCATGTAGTTTATAAATTATGCATGTAAGTATGTAAAACATATATAACATAAACACATATTAATCTCCTGAGTGAAATCAAAGTCTAAAATAGGACCTCATCTATCTTGTTTACCTTTGCATTTTCAGTACCTAAAACAACCTAATAGGCATTTAAATGCTTACAAAATACATTCCTCTGTACTTTATCAACAAAACATTCTTCTTGGCTCAACACTGAGGTTTTTTTTAAATATAAAGAAACTCTTAGGTTCTTTTTCTGTACTGGCCTTGATATGTTTTAAATGTATTTTTATAGTAGGGTTGTATCTCGTAACATAGTGTAAGTAAGATATTGGAGAACAGGGTAAGAGCAGACATCTTCATCCACAGCGTGTCTCTACCGACATCATGGGAGGGTAAACTGTCTCGCTACGTCGTGCAATGAGTCCTTAACTATAAATCACCATAATACTGAGAGTGCTATTTTGTTCAAAGCAGAGATGATCCAAAGACAGCCAGCTAGCAGAGCAGACTTTGTAAGCCAAGCTGTCTAAGGAGAGATGGGAGGCAACATGAAGACTCTCAGATAGTCAACCTTTCCTGAAGGACAGAGTGTGAGACATGTAACTTAAGGATTACTCACCACTTACCTTCCATCTTGCTGCTAATACTTTCAGGCCTTTGAAAGCTCAGTAATTCTCCAGGGGGAAAAAGCCAAACATATATAGGAAGAAGACTTTTGAAACAATCAAATTAAAATCTAAAAGCAATTCTGTACCACATGGAATGAATGAACTTAGCACATCTGACTTAACAACATATCATTCAACTATTACAGAACAAGTTCCCAAACCAGACTAACCAAATCTTCCTGCTATGATGAGTTAAGTCCATGTAAGCTCTTAGAGATGACATGTACAGAATTCCAGATACAGGAAAATATCCTTACCCTGAAATTGACTCTGTTCCTGACTCTCTGAGCCAATGCTGAATTTATAGCTTTATCAAACTGAAGTAGAACTTGAAGGGCAAGCTGGGGGGTGATCTGTTGAGACTGAGAAAAAAATGAAGAACATAAAATTTGCTAAGAGAAGAACATTTAAGACAAATAAAGTATACTGATTACAATCTAAAAGTTAACATAAGTTAATCAACTTGTGAAGTAGAAACCCTTATTCTCCCATGACAGTGAAGCAAAGCCTGAAAGTTAACTACACTATCTTGACAAGAAAAGGAAACTTGTGGTGAGTTTGTAAAGCCAGAAAAGACTTGCTAATTATTTGGTGGCTGGACAAAATATTCAACAAATGGGAAACGAAGTTTTTTCTTTCTTTCTTTTTGTTTTGTTTCAATACAGGTTTTTCAGTGTAATCTTGGTTGTCTATAGCACTCATTCTATAGACCAGGCTGGCCTTGAACTCATAGAGATCTCCCTGTTTCAGCCTCCTGAGTGCTAGGATTAAAGGTGTGCGCCACCACTGCCCAGCTAAGTTTTTTTCTTAGTAAAACATTTGAGACTTAAAGAACAAAATAAAACCAAATCATACCAAAGTCTATATAATAACACCAGAGCAGATGGGGCCAGGCATGGTGATGCACAGCTGCAATACCAGCAGGTGGGGGCAAAGGCAGGACGGCCAGAAGCTCTAGACTGTCCTTCCTTCCTTCCTTCCTTCCTTCCTTTCTTCCTTCCTTTCTTCCTTTCCCTCCCTTCCTTCTTTCCTCCCTTTCTTCCTTCCTTTTATTAATATTTATTAAATTTTATAAATTGAGTGATTTGCCTTTATACACACCCAGAAGAGGCAATTGGATCTCATTACAGATGGTTGTGAGCCATCATGGTTGCTTTGAATTGAACGCACGACCTCTACAAGAGCAGTCAGTACCCTTAAGTGCTGAGTCATCTTTTTAGCTCTTCTAGGCCATTCTTAACTACAGACTATTTAATGACAACCTGGATTCTGTCTCAAAAAATAAAGCAACCTCATTCCCATATTTTCCTCCAGACTTCAACAGAAAATAAAAAGAAATACTTAGCACTTTCTTAGTTGTATAATTTGGGTAGGATTAATTCTTATAAAATTGAAATAGAAATTCAAAATTCTAACTCAAATCTCAAAGAATTTTAATATTGGACAGAATTACTTTTAAAGTGATATAGTTTGCCTTTCCTCTACATTTAAGATGAGACAACTACTTTCAGGGATCATTTCTGAAGTTAATCATTAAACATCAGAAGGGAAAACCATAAATTTTAAAATTTTTTAACAAGAAATTTACAAGACGTATATAGATCATGTTGACTGTATGGCGCACCTGTATGAGCTCATCAAGGCTCTCCTGAAGACTGTTCCCCAAAGTTGTATTTCTGTATAACTGATATGCCATGGCTTAAAAGGAAGCGATTACTTTTTCTTCAGGCTTGCATTGATGTCCTACAAATTTAATATAAAAGACCAACTTGTAACAATTCAAATTAAATATAGTAGTCTATCACTTCATGTATTTTAACATGGAACTATGAGAACTCAATTACAAATTATTACATTAATTACCTTATAAGTTCAAAGAAGTTGATTTTTCTGATTTTTAACACCAGTATGGTATTTATCTTTTTAATTCAGTATGCTGACACATTAAAATGTGCATCTTTATTTCTTCCACAGGTTTCCCTTAGTTTAGAATTTCCCACATAGTATACATTCTACCTGCTGTCTCATAGTGACATGATATCTACACATAGGAGCTTTATTTTTCTGTTTTCTTAAAACTCCATTAGAGTTTTCAGCAAAAAGATGGCACTGTGACAGGAAACAGAGACAGGATGAATACACTGTATGGTGTAGGATGGCACTGTGACAGGAAACAGAGACAGGATGAATACACTGTATGGGGTAGGCTGCTTGAGAACTGAGTCGGCTTAGGAAAGCTTCCCAGTCTTCAAAGGAAAGCCACTCTACAATGGGTAAAGGTGTGAGGAGGGTAAGAAAAGCCACAGAAGTGTGAAAGTGTAAGGTTTGTGGAAATCTCTGTGAGTAGAGAGGAGCAGCAGGTGAGGAAGCAGAGGACAAGATGAGTTTGCCCCACGAGAGAGCCACGAGAGAGCTGAAAGCAACAAAAAGCCTGTGAAACAACAATTCAGGCAAGATAGGCAGAAAATCTGGCTCATAGGACAGACTTAACACATGTTTATTGACCTCGTAGTACTTCTAGTCCAGAGATGGACAGAAGGGGACATTTTCAAACAGTCATCATCAGATAAGACTTGGTAAGGCTGGAGAGGGGGCTCAGCAGGAAAGAGCACTGGCAGCTCTTCCAGAGGACCCAGGTTTGATTCCAAGCACCCATATGGCAGCTCAAAACCATCTGTAACTCCAGTTCCAGGGGTTCAGACACCCTCACATGCAGGCAAAACACAAATGGACATAAAAATAAAAAAATCTAAAGAAACCCAAAACAAACAAACAAACCCCAAACAATAAAACAAAAAACCCTTCCTGAATCCTAAGGAGCTCCCCTCTAGGAAGGAGTACAATCAGATTTGGTAAAACTAACGACCTGCCATCTTCAGATTACACTTGGTCAACAACTGATCCAGATCATTCTGTGATCTGTTGCTTTTGGGTTACCATTCTAAGTTCTTTCCTCCCAGCTATGTAACTACTATATTTCCAGTTTTCTTTGACAATTTTTCCTCAGCTCTCTGACTTCCAGTTCCTGAATTACCCTAAGGCTCCAAAGTCTTCTCTTCCCCTGCTTTCCTCGTTAGCTATTCCATCTAAGCTTATGGTGTTAAACCTCATCTATGTGTTGATGACTCTGAAACTCATATCTCCTTCCTCCACTTCTCTCTCTGTACCCATACACAGAATGGTCTACTCTGCATTGAAACAATTATCAAATAGCTAAGACACCTCTCCTACAGATAGGGAAATCTAGTTCAGCTATGTATGTACCACCCAGAACAATGTATGTAGTATGCATTCAAAAAATATTTGCTGAGTGAAAAAACTTGGCACATCAAAGTACTAATATAAAACATTAGAAATATATTTATATGTGGCATATTTCTACTTTACTGGCAAAATTAATAAAAACTAGAATCGTACAACTGCATCCACCTACTCACTTCTGCCTATACCCATACACTCTGCCTTTCTGTCAGATCTGTCATTATAGTCAACATGCTTTTATCTGCATGCAATTTTTCATCTATCAGGCCCCTTTTCTCTACACTTGAAGATACTGCTTAACATTTCAAGTAATTCCTTCTTTAATAATCAAATTTCCCCTTTATCCATCATTTCTATTTGCAAGCAAACCGGCAGCTCCTTCTCCCACTGCTGGATAGAGTACATCAGCGACCGCTCACATCCCACTGCCTCACATCCCACTGCCTCACATCCCACTGCCTCACATCCCAATGCCTCACATCCCACTGCCTGCCGCCTACATCACTCCTCTGACTGGCAGAAGTTAAGAGGAATTTGTACTCAGGGTTTTCCACTCTCCCCCAACCCTGGAACTCACACCAAGCTTCAGGCTCCAACTGTAATGAAACTCATGCTGCAGGTCACCAATGGCACTGCTAAGGCTGATCTTCACCAGACTGGAGAGTGACTTCTTATGGTTACAGGATCTTTGCTTCACTTTTGGGACTGTCTTCTTAGGTTCACTGATTGATTCATCCTGCTGACTGACCTCTTCTCTAGGTAACCCTGGCTTGTCTGGAGCTCTGCTTCCTGGGTGCTGGGATCAAGGATGTATGCCACCATGCCTGGCTGGCCCTTCTTTCCCCACTCTTTACAATCATAAGACATTATTTGACTGTTTACTGTTTTTGTTCTGAATACATTTATGAATTAAATTTACATTCATTCTAATGACTTTGAACATCAGCTGGTGATTCCCAAATTCACATATCCTCCTAACAATTCTCAATTCCGGGACTAATCTATTCAAAACCTCTACTTGTCCTTCGTATCTCAAATGAAGTAACACTATACTTCTGTGGGCTCTCAAAGTCATATAAACCATAAGAGTGCAAGTTCTAGCAAATCTTGTAAGGGCAACCTTCAAAATGAACCTAGAATCCAACCATTCCTCAACAGCCCCATTATTACTTCCTTGTGCTAGGTCACTAGTACAAGTCATTTGATACACGGTGTCCAGATTTCCTTTCCTCTACACTTGTCCCCACACTTTATGATTTGCAATGGGGTTATCTTTTAAAAATATAGGCCAGGACATATTTCCCATCAGCTTCCATCACACCTGACAGCATTTATACTTGGTTTTATTTACTTTCCATCCCCCCTTGCACTCTCAACTTGCATGACAGGCAAGTTACTACCTTTGTGATGGCTGATCTTTCTGCCTGAAATGTTCTTGCTCAGATATTAATTTGGCTAACACACAACTCCAATAGCTCCACTCAATAGCGCCTAAACTGACCACCACATATGAACTCCAACATTCACTATGAAACTTCTCCAAATCCTTTATCTCGTTAAAATTTTTGATAGCACCATCTGCCAACAAGTTACATAACGGTCTTATGTTAATTTTCTGCATAAAATGTCCACGAGGACATGGATCTTTATGTTTTGTTCACTTCATGTAACCTGCGGGACGAGAACAGTACCGGATACTCGACGAGTGTCAAACAAAACATTTAGCTCATTGAAGGTAAACGTCAGTCGGCACGTGTGTGTGGTGAAGGGGCGAAAAAGGTCAGAGAGATAGAAACTTCAAAAAAGGCCAGGAGGGAGCCATGTCATGCTCCATTTGACATCTAAGCATTATTTAGAAAACAGCTAACAGCGACTCCAACGTCTGCTGAAAACTAGTTGGCTCGGCCATCTCCAATCTTTTAAGGTGGCGGCAGCTGCAGAACTTCGGAATCCCCTCCTCACTGTGGAGCTGGAGCGCAAGCGCTGTGTGTCCCTGGTCTCAGAACTAGAAGCCGGGCTACTAAGCGCGGCCTGAGGAGAGCGGGAAAGCGGCTGCTCCCGCGCAGCTGCGTCTGCCTGGGGACGGCTTCCGGCGGGCACAGCGCTCGGTCCCTCCCGCCCCGCCGCGGCCTCCCCGTTCCCGGCCCCGCCGCCGCCTACCTGAGGGAAGGCGCTTCCGCCACGGCGGTAGCAGAGCCAGGTAGGGAGCCCGCTGTGACCACCTCCTCAGCCGCGGAAACCGCAGCCCTGTGCCAGCGACCCGGAAGTGCTCGCGCGACCCGGAGGTGACGCCACAGGAGCCACTGCCGGCCCCCCCTCAGTTTGCGAGAAGGGGCGTGGCCTCTCCCGCAGGCGCTGAGGAAGCAGAAGCCGGTGGGGCTCTTCTCTGGCTCGGCAAAGTTTGTGAGACTACAGTGTAGTGCAGCGAAAGGTTTGAGTCATTAATCCTTTTCATTTTAAAGATCTGCTGCATAAACTTCGTGCCTAATATAAAAGCAAACACGCAGATATTCTGAATTTCCAGAATTTCAGACTCCTTTTCGTATTAGGCGGGGTGCTTGGTTTTCTGCTTTCAAAACAGCAGCTATGAGTACAGCAAATGGCCAATGAGTACATGAGTTGTGACTTTGGAGTCAATGCAAACACCTGAGGCCTGGGAATGAAACATGTTCTCTTTTGTGACCTGCTGTAGGTTTTCCTTTTCAGCCTTTTAAAATCATATCCTTGCAACCCAAACTAGTTAAGTAGTTCGAAACCATGAAATATAAATCTGATTAAAGTTCAAGTATGTTAAGATTTTAAACAGGCTGAACTTGTTATTAATCAAAAGAACCAGAAGCATTCACACTGTAAAGGCCTGATATTTGAAAGGCTTCACCAAATAATTCAGTATAAAAAGTTAACAATTAAAGATGAAAACAAGGCACAAATGTGTATTCCAACTAATTTATTAAAAGGCATTAATGTAGTAGTAATACATGCAACAAATGAGGACACACCACTGTATTTGGAACAAGTCAAAGGAAGAGAAAATAGCATATTTGCAAATCAGCAGCTTCTCACTGACAAGAACCAGAGCTGTATCCTGCAGACAGATAATCAAGACTGAAATGACAGTATTAAATACTAAGAACAATAAAAAGGTCACAGTAAGTTAATTTTGTCTAAATGACAGTATGTGAGCTCCTAATGAAAATAGTTTTGAAGCACGAATCAAAGTACAACAGTGTTTGATTGTGTTCAAAGTGAAGAGAAACCAAAGCAATGTGCAAGCCAGCAGCTCGGAACATCAGTATTTACTCTCTGGGGTTTCGTGAGTAAACAATGAAGCAGGTGTTAGGACATTAACCTTAGAAAGTCTATACACAAAGGTATGATGATAATAACTGACAGTTACCAAGTTCTGTCAAAATAGATATACAAATATACAACTTCAAATTCCAAGTTTTAATTATTGTAGGAAATCTTACACAGCTATCTGAAATAGCTTATATAATTTTTTAAACTAATTTTAATTCACTGTGTTACTCCACCACCAACCCCAAGCCCAGGGCAGGTTTCATTCTATTTACCCACCTAGGTTGTCCTGGAACTTGCTAAGTAATCCAGACTGGCCCTAAACTCCCAATCCTCCTGCCTTAACCTCCAGTGTTGGAATCACATGCACATACCACCATGGTAGGTCCCAAAGCAATTGGTTTTCCTCTGGTGCTTGATTTCAAGTGCTGTATGTGGACTTCTCAAAGCATTTTTACATTTGGTTCCACACCATTACATATTATATAGAACAGCAACAAACTGCCCTATTCAAATTATACTTACCGCTTACTGTTCCACATCCTGTTTTGTTTCAATTACCATTTAGAACTTAAAAGCTCCATTACTTGGTCTTCTGCTGACCTGACTCTGCGTTCATTTAGGATTTTCAGAAGGGGAGCTGAAGGTAAAGGGCTTCCCTGACAGGTCATCTGTACTAGCTTAGAACACTGGACCCAGTTCTTGATGGCCTTAGCAATGCTCACTACACAATTCCCATTCCCTAGAACAACTCTCACTAGCACACATGTTCCCCTGTATATAGATTTCTCTTATTCCAGCCTCTGAGATATGATTGAGATATCAATTTCTGAAATATGTATCTAAAGAAAATAGAGGTATGGGAAGTGAGGGGAGACAGCACAACAAAACCAAAGCAGAATGGGGTGGCTACCTGTTGTCAACTGTCTCTGCATCTCTAACAGTGTTAACAATTTTCTATCTGCCCCCTCTTTTGTTTGTTTGTTTCTTTTTGTTTGTTTGTTTGTTTTTGTGACAGGGTTTCTCTGTTTAGCCATGGCTGTCTTGGAACTCGGTCTGTATGGAGTTTTTGGGGCTGCTTGACAGGAATCTGACATTGGCCAAGGAAGTTAAGTACAGTCAGGAATCTAATTTTAGGCTAAAACAGAGAAGTAATTTCAGTCAGGAATCTTAAGTCTTAGGCTAGAACAAAGAAGAAGGCTTCAGGCATGAATATAACTTTGGGCTAGGACAGGAAAGTAGGCTCAGATATTCTGGTCATCCTGATGAGCCCTTAGAAACAGTGATCACGGGACTTTGCTTATTGCCTTGCTTGTTCCTTGACTATTTGCATTTATTGTATTGCTAGTTCCTCAGCCTAGAACTGACCTAAATACTTGCATGTAATTAAAATGGTATAAAATCAAATTGGAAAAAAACAAACCTGCCTCAGCCTTCAGCCTCTAAACTGGCTGGGGTCATGCTGCAATATTATCTAATCGTCTTTTTTCTTTTTAATCCTTACTCCTGCGCTGGAGAACCTGTTGACTGACTAGGCTGGCTTGGTCATCTGTAGACCAGGCTATCCTCAAATTTAGAGATCAGTCTGCCTCTGCCTCCAAAGTGCTGGGATAAAGGGTGTGTGCCACCACTGCCCAGCAATAATCTCCTTAAAACACAGGACAAAGAATGCCAACTGTCACCTTTCACGGAGATCTACCAATTCCATCAAGACACTGGCCTGCTCTACTACATGTACCATAGTGCTAATTCCTAGCACGTCTACGTGAGATTATCTCTTCAAGTTCCCTGAGCATTCACACACATGGCTGTAGGAACATGACACAAGTTCTCTGGAAGAATACTGTCAAGGAGCTGGTGACACTAAGTTATGATAGGTAGCACAGAAGCTAACATTAGTGTTTACCAGCTGTGAAGAATGGGATCAGTCTCAACTTGGACACTGTAGCTGCTATGCCACTGTTCAGACCTGCTTCTGTCTGAAGATGCAAAGGGCAGGAGATCATCACCAAGGCCATCAGCAGTTTCCTTGTCAATCCACACTGTCTATGATCTGCTGCTTGTGGATACAGGAAAGGAACCACCTGCTGCCATACAGAGTATGTCCCTTAAGAGGGACACTTTTAGGGACATGTAGGTGGGTGATAACCAAGTCTCTCTTTATATTGGCCCATTTTCTCATTTATCTTCTAACTCTGCTTAGCACCACACTTCCTAGTACCTCTTTCCTCCTGGAGTTAAAGGCTTCATTAAGAGGTGGAGACCTCACAGCTTCCCTTGATGCTTTTTCAACACAGAGTCACATTATTTTCTGAGAAAAACTTGATAAAAAGGGAGCAATCAGAGAAAGTGTAACAGAGATGGTAACAAAAACATGAATTAAATCTGTCAAGTTTATCTATGACTCCTGAAAAAAAGTCAAAGAATTACTCTATGCATTTTCACCTCAATTAGTCATGAAAGTTAAAATATGATGTGGGAACATGCTATATTGCACCAATTAAAAATCAACTTAATGTGGCTTTTCCTCTAGCCTACTATTTATCACCAATCATATAGGTATGTTTACATTTACTGTGGGCACATCTCTATACCATGCTCATTCAAGTGCAGGTTAAAGCACTGTTCTCCTTTTCTCCCTCAGTCAAGGGCCTCAAACTTAAGAATTCTCCTGTTTTAGACTCCCTAGTGCATGGTCTATGACATGATAATTGGCTGTTCCTTGTGAATTTTATTCATCTTAAAAAAAAGATTGTGTATATGCATGTGTATGTTATGTATGTATGTTATGTATGTGTTATGTATGTATGTATGTATGTATGTATGTATGTACGTATGTATGTATGTATGTGCGTGCAGATGCCCAGAGGCCAGAGACTGCAGCAAATCCTTTGGAGCTGGAATTACAGATGGCCATGAGCTGCCTGCCATCAGTGCTGGGAATAAACTTGGAAGTGTTCTTACAACTGCTGAGCTAGCGCTCTCCATGTTCTAACTAAATATTGGCTACTTCTACTTTTTAAAAATTTACAAAACAAACAAAAAATCGAAATAGAAAAAAAGCCCATACCCCAAACTCACCATTTCTGCAAAAAGTAAAACACAATAAAAAGCTGAAGCTATTGTCTGTGTTTTGAAAGGATGATCCAAGTACTTAATGTAGAAGAAAACCAAAGACAAAGCTCAGTCCGTTCTGAGGCAGAGATGGGGAGAGGCTCCGTAAGACACTCTACAAGCTACTCAGGATTCACCAACACAAGTAAAATGGTTTGGGCTCAATGTACGGAAATAACACTAGTGCTGGATCTAGGCTGAGAGGTTGTGGAGAAATGTTTTACCCAGAAAGTCCTCCAGCTTGACTATAACTGGTTGTAACCTGAGGTCAAATTTACACCCGAGAAGGACAAAGAAGTAAAGAAAAATTCCCTTTTGCAATCGAAGCATAGCCCTAAAACCTGACAGTGGTGAAGCTCATGTGCTAGGTGTGGGAGAAAACAGCCTAAGCTCAGCTCACACCTGCTTCAGTGTTTTGCTAGATCACTTTTGTAAACAGCTTACAGGAAGCCGATTCGCACTAAATATGTATACACCAGGCAAGTCCATGACACAAGACTAGACCAATTCATTGTTTTAGAATGATTTTGAAGGTGATTAGACCCTGCTTGGAGGCACAAATGTCATCCTGAGTGCATGGTGGCAGCACTTGAACCCTTACAGAATCGACCCATGTACAGCAACGTGAATACCCATCTGTTTAGGCCAAATTCCACTGTGGTCAAATAACCAGCGGAAGTACTCTGGTACAGTGCCTCACTGTGAGAGCACTGCAATAGCACTCCATCTGCTCGACAGCTGCAGCTGATCATGAATTCTCATCGAAGCCTCTGCAACACCTCACAGCTTCACACACACGACACAACTCATATCACATTACTCAACACATCTTAAGAGCTTTCTTTCTTTTTTAAACAGTTC